GACCAACTCTCCCGTATTAGAGCTATTTTTTTTTTTGGATCATCCCGGCTCCCGTATATTTCATTAACAATCAAGATCGCAAAATTTAAATTATATATTATTCCCGCCAAATACATTCCGATATAAACTGTCATTATTATCGACAGTTTAGACTTAGAGGTACTCATCGATAAATATCGAAAAATTACCTGTAATAATCGATAGAAAGTTTAGCATATACTAATCGATAGCGGAATATCCGTTTCCGGATTGTAATATTTTCTGTTCCTGCTTCTTGCCATGTTCATCCTCGTGCTTTTAAATAATTACCAAATTGAATCCATTTTCGTAATGAGTAGTGACAGTGAAAGTGAAAGCGAAAGCAACAATGCAAAAACTCCACCTAAGAAGAAAACTAAATACTTGTGTGTTTACTTGAGAAAATGGGAAGAACAGAATTTATAGTTAAAGTCCGTGCCCTGCAACGTTTACAGAGCTTATTGTATACTTTGTAAACGTGAGTTCAGCATCGCTCACGGGGGTAATACCGACTGCAGACAACATTCTTGCACAGAAGGGCATAAACGAAAGGAAAGGGACGTGAAGACCTCTTCAAATTTACACCTCTTTTCTGGGAACAGCAGCAAAGACTTCAAAAACGTTGCAGGTGAGCTAGCATTGGTTTTCCATACTCTAAAACACAACATCGGCTACAGAAGTATGGATTGCGCAAATAAGTTATCGAAGGATATTTTCCATGACTCTAACTTGGCTAAGAAGATGTCCTGTTGCCGAACAAAGGCAGAGGCTATTGTGAAAAAATGTTCTAGCGCCAAGAAGTGTACAAGACTTCATCGATGTGTTGAAGGATCCAGCAAAATCAAGCAACTTTTTCTCTTTTGCAACTGATGCCTCCAACCACAAAAACAGAAAGATATTCCCGCTGGATGTGAGGTATTTGACCCTCTTAGTGGTGTTAAAAATAGGCTCCTGGACTTCATTGAACAAGCTGATGAAACAGCTATGCTACCCATAATTTTATCAAGTCTTCACTTGATACACACAAGTTAGATATAAAAAATCTAACTTCATATTGTGCAGATAATGCAAATGTGAATTATGGGAAGCATAATTCTGTGTTCAAACTGCTACAAGAAGATAACAAAAATATGCTTAAAGCAAACTGCTCAAATCATATATTGCATAATGCCACAAAACATGCATCTGATGGATTAGATGTGGATATTGAAATGATCATCTTAAAAATATATGGACAGTTTTCGGTATCAGCAAAAAGAAGAGAAAAGGTTAAGTCATTCTTTGATCTTGTTGATGCCGAGTTGGAGGTTGTTCGTCATGTCCCCACTCGTTGGCTTACCCTAACATCAGCTGTGGACAGGCTCATACAAAACTGGTTACCTATTAAGAGTTATTTCAAAAGTTTGAATGACTGTCCAAAAATATTAAAAAAAACATTTCAGTGATAAAGATACAGAAAAGGGGTGTGTTATTGAGGCATATCTTAATTTTTTTCAACATTGGTGCAGTACTTGTTCAATCTACCAAAATTCTTGAAACTGCTGATCTTAGCATCTACAGTGTAATGCAATGTGTAGGCAATAAAATTCAGCAGAGGATAGAGGACAGGTTTTTTGGTAGTGCCACGGAAAAAATTTTAAACTGTTTGAATCCACCCCTGCAGAAATGTGCTAGAGATGATTTTGTTAATTTCTACTGTTGCTTGCACAAGTACATTTCTAAGAATTTTGAGTTATCAAATGCAAATCCTGTCCATTGTCTTTTGCCATTAAATTTAAACACTGAACTTTCTTTCAGACATTTTCAAACCATTGTAAAAGAATTTAATCTTGATTTTGTAAATGAGGACAGCATGTACAGAGAGTTTTCTAGTGCAAAAAGTGTTCTGAATGTGGTAAAAACAGGACGTATAGAACAAAGTTGGGTCAATATTTTCAGTGATTTAAGAAACAAACAAATTGATGTGCCAAACCTTATTAAGATCTTAGGCATTGTTTTAAGCATCCCAGGCGCAAATGTCCATACTGAAAGAATTTTTTCACTGATAAGCAATAAATGGACTGATCAGAGAAATCAAAGCGGCTTAGAACTAATTAAGTCAGAGCTAATGGTAGCAATTAATTATGACTATAGTTGTAAAGAGTTTTTTAAATTTGCACAAGATGATAAAAAATGCTTAGTTCTGCAGCATCAATGGACAAATACATATAGGTTAGGACTAAGAAACATGCAAATTTGTAAAATTTATTCTATATTGTGACCTGTATATTATATACAAAGTAAATTAATTGTTTTGTTTAATATTATCCATTCCATGAACGTTTGCTGGACTGACGCCGCGCCGCTAAAAATGCGCAAAATTTGTCGTGACTAAATCTCCCTTAAATTCATGACCGAAAGTTGGTCACCCTACTCTACAGTGATAATTTTTTGTTATTTAGTTTCATCAGCACTATTTATATCATTCAATTCCCCCCCCCCACTTTTTTTTTGTTCTAAGTTGTGTCTTTTAGGGCTACATTTTGCTTCACTAAACCGGATTACCCTTCTCCCCTCCCCATTAAATCCTGATTATCGAGGGATTACTGTACCTCCTGAGACTCATCCCCTGAAGATGTCGGCAGTAATTTCCTGCGAAACGCTGGTAAATACCTGAGTAAACCTCGCTGCCGGCTGTGTGACGAAGAGGTTAAGCTTTGGACTTGCATTCAGGAAGTGCTGGGTTCGAATCTGAGCGCGACACTGTCTACACTGACCAAGGATTTCCATGGATTTCATGAAGCAGTCCAGGATAGTGCCACGATCATACCACAACTGCTTCCACTCAGGTCTCCTACAATTGGACCACGTAATTCGGATGCTAACAGCGTCGTTAAACAACACAAAAAGAAATACCGCTCATGGCATCCAAGAAAGCACTGAATATCATGGCGTTGTCTCTCCTTACAGTCTTATCAGCTCGCTGACAGATAATTCTTTGGTAGCTTAACTCAAATATACTGAAAATGGAGGCGATTCTGAGCCACTTCTACTCTCCTCCGAAGTAGCCTACCCCTCGCTCCTGTAACCGTTCATTCTGACTGGAGGACTGTTGTGTGTAAATTAAATTTGTATTAAGTTAAGATTAACAATATTACAAACAAAGAGATCCGGCAGATAGCCAGCTCTTACACGCGGAAGGGACATAGTTCAAGTTTTGCTATGTGGACAGGAAGGAACATCTGGTAATTTCCTAGAATTCTGGCAGTTTCAGCAAAGGCGGAAAGGCTTTGAGAAAATGAGAGCTGACAGCTTGGGACAGCGATAACTTAGAAGTGGGACGGCCGGAGCCTCACACCCTGACTGTAATGCATCAAGGGGCTGTCATCCTTAGCGTCAGGTCAGCATCTGCCAGAATCACATAGCAGAGCCACATGATTGGGAATTCAAAATTTAGGGAACCTCCTAGTTTGAAAAATTAACCAATGGCAGAAGTGGAGGAGTGGATTTCTCTTGGAGTCTGGGGTTCGTGGACCTCAGAATTCAGAGAGAGGGCATTCCACCTCGGAGAGTCTTGACACTACTTTCGGCAAAGTCGGACACTAAATTTACCACTACGGCCCTTCCGTAAAATAGTATAAGTACAGTTCAAATCAATAGTATTAATAAATTCAGTTGTATGCAGAAAGCTGGAAGGGATTAAAGGACTACTAAGTGCAACCGTCGAAAGGTGGGTGATTGTAGTGAAATGTTCTTCCTGCCCTGTCCGAGCCAGACCCTTATAAGACCCTGGGATAGGAACCCAGCTCTACTGATTAAAGTAAAGAACCCAAAGAAGTGAGCGGTGGTGGAGTGGCGCACAACGAAAAGGGCACAAAGGAAGTGAGCGGTTACACTCCCTAGATCTGTAAGTCCCGCACTCTGTATCCGGCCAAGTGCCGCGTCGCCGTGTCAGAAGTGAAGCCCCAAGGATGTGATACTGTGCTGCGTGATCAGGGCTATCGCATAACTCAGGGAGGTGATACGTGAATATAGAACAATAGTGGAATGGTGATTAACAGGGAACTAACTGAAACTAACTTCATGGAGCTGAGTCCTTCTTGAGAAGCTGCCAGTTCAAGAACTTCTCAGCATTTTATGGGACCCGAAGGTTCATTACAGTGTTCACAACAGCCCTCCACTGGTCCCTATCCTGAGCCCCATCCCAGCTCTCCAAGCTCCATTTTAAAATTATTCACCCACCTACGTCTTGGTCTCTCTAGTGGTCTCTTTCCTTCTAACTCTCCCAGCTCTCCAAGATCCATTTTAAAATTATCCACCCACCTACGTCTTGGTCTCTCTAGTGGTCTCTTTCCTTCTAACTCTCCCAGCTCTCCAAGATCCATTTTAAAATTATCCACCCACCTACGTCTTGGTCTCTCTAGTGGTCTCTTTCCTTCTAACTCTCCCAGCTCTCCAAGATCCATTTTAAAATTATCCACCCACCTACGTCTTGGTCTCTCTAGTGGTCTCTTTCCTTCTAACTCTCCCACCAATATCCTATATGCAGGCCTCTTTTCATTCGTGCTACATGCTCAGCCCATCTCATCCTTGACTTGATCATTCTGATTATACTTGGAGAGGAGTACAAGTTATGAAGCCCCTAGCCAGCTGAAGAAATTAGAAACCTCCAGTGTCACTTCGTCCATAACGAGCCTATATGGATTCAACCGGAATTTTCATCTTATATTCATCTTCAGTCTCGATGTTATTTGTGGACTTTTTAAAGAGATTTTCTTACCAAAATTCTCTTTCCGTTTCATGCTACATGCGCAGCCCATAGTGGCCTCCAGGATATTCTAATATTTGGTTACGTGTAGTGGTATTATATATACATGTTGTGTAACATTACGTTTTGGTTTGCCAAGGTAAACTCAGTGCAATTTGTAGATGACCTAGAAATGTAATTCTGAAAGCAGACTGTACTGTTGCCTTGGACGTCCTAAGTGTGAGTTTCTTTGTAGGGTCAAGGAACTCAGCGTGTAATCTCGTGAATAACTATAGCCATCTTGTCTACAAGGAAAAGAACTCCATATCGTTGGCGCATGGGCGGGCTGTTTGTTCTCTCCTCAACTTCCTCGTCAGTTCTGGGTGAGTTATATAGTAAAAGTGATTTGAGTACAATTATACTAATGTCAGAAATCTATTTTGTAATATTTTACAGTCTTAAATTCTTTAAAATAAGTTAAAGCTATCCCTGTAACAGGCCGTGAAGGCCCATAAGATTGTGAGCCGTCGAGGCTTCCACACTTTCTAGATAATCGGCTCACAGAAGGCGGCGAGGTTGTCAGCTTTACGCGCCGGCCTACCTTTACCCCCAGAAAAATACCTGGTACTCATTTCTGTTAGAGGCTGAGTCTACCCCAGGGCCATAGTGCGGCTGGAAAGATTAGTTACATTCAAAAATCCAACTCATAGGGAATCGAACCCGGGTCCTTCCGGCTTGAGCGACAGTTCTTCAACCAACTACGCTACTGCGTGCCTCTGAAATTGGTAGAACATAAAGAGAAGTACGCAAAACAAAAAAATGGTTTCCGGTTTGGTGAATTAGCTGATGTCTTAAATTGCGCTCACTTTCTCGTTTTTGTTCGGTATGTTCATCACAACGTAATCAAGCATTTACTTCTTGTGACCTTCTGAAAGAAACAGAGCCCAGTAGACATTATGGTTACGGCGAACGAGTTTTTTCTTTTTCCAGCAGATATTCAAGGTACCTCATTGAAGCAATTTGTGCTCCAGCCGTACTGAAGATGAGTCCAGGCTCCGTGGATCACGTCAAAACCATGAATCCAAATGCGATGTCTACTCATCGCATTCTCCAGCGACACGTTTGGCATTGAGCTCTCCCCTTCTCATCCGCAAGACGTGTGGATGTTGTCATCCGTGCTGAAAACGTGATCCGAGCGAGGCAAGTGAGTCCCTGCATGTTCACAGCGCTCAGCACACGGTACTTCTCACGGGATCCATTCTGGTTCGGCACTCCTGACTAGCTGAGCCCCCTCTTGAGAAGCCGCCAGTTGACTAGCTGCTCAAGAACTTCCCACTCCACTGGTCCCTACCCTGAGCCAGATCAATCCAGTCCATACCACCCCATCCTATATCTTTAAGATGCATCGCATTGTATGTACTCCTACCTATGTCTTGGTGTCCACCCAGCCTCCTATCCAGTCAGTACCGGTGGCTCTTTCCCTGGGAATAAAGCGGCCGGGGCGTGAAGCTGACCACTCACCTCCAGCTAATGCCGAGGTCAAGAAAAAGTGGATCTATACATCCATTCCCCCATACGGCTTCATGGCGTAGTGTTTATTTAGTTAAACCCAGGACAACTTTACCTTTTACCTGCTTCTTGGTCTTCCTAATAGGCTCCCTCCTTCTGGATTCCCCACCAATATCCTATATCAGGTTTCGATCTGTTATCGTTCCAAAATATCTGAATTGTGGCACATTTTCAAAACGTCTGTTTCCTATCTTTATGTCATGATTTTTCCCTGCATTTTGATGATGAGACAGCAACATGTACTTAGTTTTCTGTGTGTTTACTTCTAGCCCAACCACTTTACTTGCGTCACTTAAAGTCTGTGTGTTTTTCTTTATGGTATCTACATTATCACCCAGTAGATTCACATCATCCAGCAGCTGATGTGTCCCGTTTAAGTTCAGTCCCACCTGGTTTCCCTGGACCTTCCTAATGGCATATTCTAAAGCAAAGTTGAGTGTTATTGCGACTTAAAATCTGAAAACCACCAGAGAATTAATTATTACGACTGGCTCGGTTTCTGACTCCTTTGCCGTTTCTCGTGAATAGGTGGGTGATTCTATTCTGGTGAAGACGAACTTCTAGTTTTGCGCGATGATCACAAACTTCGTTTCGATTTGGAATCAGGGAAACGTTGCGAGACATCGGAAGAAAACGGAGAAGAAGTGAGATGACAGAAATTAATAAGTTGGTCAAAGAAAGCTGCAATGAAAGTAAAGAAAATTATAACACGAAAAGAGTGAGGTTATGAACTAAAAAAGGAATTTCTAGAATAACTGGCAAACCCGTGTTCTTTAGATTTTATAGGGTTCTGACGATGGTGTATAACACACAGAATTACAGGGTTTTGAACTTTTTCTATCGTCCGGTGCTCTAGTGAATAGAAAACACGACGTTTCGGAAACTGGATCTGTTTCGATCCTCAGGTGAAGAGGGGAGAATACAACGTTCTCATTTGGGCCCCTTAGAAAGAGTGATTGAGATTAGCTCTTTCTAAGGGGGACAACTGGGTAAGTGTCTCCTCTACCTTCACCTGAGGACAGAAACAGATCCAGTTTCCGAAACGTCGTGTTTTCTAATCACTATAGCACCAGACGATAGAAAAAGTAAAAAATAAAAACAATAATTCCATATTATTTATTTGACAGATTACAACTCATTCAGACTTATTCCTTCTTAACTTCCTGTCCGTGATAGCTTCCAACGAGTTCGCAGGAATACCGATGGAGGCACCACTTGTGACGGCTCTCAGATACATGGACCGCAGTGTCTGATAACAGATGGCGCGGGTACGTTGCAGCAAATATAGATATGTGCCACTGCTACAGAGGGCCAGATGGGCATTGCCTATGCTTTTCTATATTTACAATTACTTTTCACAATAAAAGAATAACTGGCGCTGCACCAGTCTAGCTCAGGAAAATGTAAATCTCGCATTGCGTAACCAGACAAGTTTCGGATCGAAGAAGAATCCCCAAACTTAAAGACCGACGTAATGGTAGTGTGCTACAGCACATCTCAAGGAACGCTGAGAGTTGACTAAGAAGTAATGGTGGAATGATTATTAGCATGGGAAAAGCGAAAGGAGATCGGAGGACCTGTTCTAGCACCATTTCGTGCACTGTGAATGTCACGTGAAGTCACCAGGGATGGATTCCGAATCTCCTCGGACAGGACCAACATCTGTTCTCACGCCCGTACTTCCTCATATTCAGTTTTTTCTCGAAGAAAGCATTAACGCGGATTCTGTCGTTTAGAAGATTAAAGTTTTCGACCTAAACCTTCCAGCCGCCACGATGGCGCTGGGGTCGACTCAGCCTCTAACAGAAATTAGTACCAGGAATCTTCTGCCTGTGAAAGGCTGCCGGTCGGCAAGTATGACCGACAGCCTCACTGCCGTCTGTGAGCCGATTGTCTAAACAATATGGGAGCCTCGACGTCTCACAACACTATGGGCCTCCACCGTTTATTAAATTGTAAACTAATTCATCGGTGCTGAGCCATTCTTGAGAAACCGCCAGTCGCTCATCTCCTCAGTAATATCCCAACATTTGGTGGAATCCGGAAGTTGATCTCCGTGTTCACAAGAGCCCTCCGCCCGTCCCTATCCTGAGCCAGATGTATCCAGTCTATACAACACCATCCAATTTGTATGAGATGAATTTTAATATCCTTCCACAAACTTCATTGTCTTCCTACTTGTCCCCTTCTGGCTTCCCCACCAAATTCCTATATACATTCCTGTTCCCCATGCATGCTACATTCCCTGTCCATCTCATCCCACTTTACTTGATCATTCACAGTGTTTCGGCAGGTTTATGGTCTATCTCCTTACCAAATTCCAAAAGTATCATAAGTTATCACCGTCAGACCGAAAGCAAGAAACAGAACAGCCGCCATGTTGGTAAATTGCATTCTAGAAAGAAATCCTAGACAAGAGCCATATATTTCAGCAGTACCTGTCACCGTACCTTATATCACGTCCCTAAATTTGGTGGACCGGTCACAGTGGCCGCGGGGTCTGACGAATAAAATGTCTTCCCTTGCTCGAACGCTGGGATCGTGGGTTCGAATCCCACTCAAGACATGGATGTTTGTCTGCGTTTATTCTGTTTGTTTTGTCCTGTCCTGTGTAGGTAGCGGCCTTGCGACGAGCTGATCCCCGTCCAAGGAGTCCTACCGACTGTGTTATGACTAAGAGACTGAAGTGAAACCAAGCGTTTCACACATGCCCTGTGCTCCAAGTGGGAGCAACAGGAACAAAGGTAGATAGAAATTGGGTGGAGCTTCAGTCTCAAAACTGTGATAGTCTTCTATGTTTCTGTACGGGAATTTTAGGGAGGTCAGTATCTAGACTTTATGGCGTCCAGTGGAAGGCGTTAAGAAAGCATCATTAGCATCATCATCATCATCATCATCATCATAAAACGCTACTCAGAAAGCAGTGTTCGTGTAAACTTGTCCTTGAGCTTAAGTAATTAATCACTGCGCCATGGAGGCGTATGGGGGAGTAGATGTATATATTCACGTTATTTTGATCTCAGCACTAGATGGAGGAGATTGTCCAGCTTCACGCCACGGCCGCTTTACCCAAGGGGGAAATAGTTCACTCTACCCATTGGATGGGTGGAGAAAAGAAAATTCTTGATCCTACCGGAACTCGAACTCCAACCCCCCTGTCACCAACTGCGGTCTCCTGCTCCTACAGAGTTCATGTAGAGGCGTTTTATTCGAATAGCAGCAATAGGTTCTGCGGACACGCTGATAAATGTTCACCGCTCTTTTACCATGAAGATGGGGGTAGCAGTTACCTCCGAAATGTCGACAACACTGCCATGTCTTCACGACGCAAAGGCCCAGGGCCACAGTAGACATCTGCAGTGAGCAAAGTAGTTCGCTGTTTTGTGAGTGGGAGCTAATGTTTCCTGTGAGGTACGAACTGAAAGTTTAAGTATTATTTAGTGACTGGGAATATAACCGGGCCACCCTGTTCCTGGGGGATAAAGATACGGGGACCTGGCCCTCCAGATTTGGGTAGTCTCGGACCTGAGAATGACTGCGCTGGAGAGGACCAACAGTAATTCTAAACGACAGAACCATTCTCTCGTCGGAGAAGATGTTAGGGATTATAACCGCAAATATTCAGTTAGAAAATAAAAACTCTGACCTTGGGTCTCAAGGGACTTGACGCCCAGATGAACTGATTGGCGGTAAACCGCTAGTCGTAAAGTAACTTTGACTTTGTCTCAGTCTTTAAGATGCAGATGCCCCCCCCCCCCAAAAACAAATACCTATCACTATTCT